CCCCAAAACCCCAAAACCCCAAAACCCCAAAACCCCTCTAGAATATAAATTTTTGAAAATGGCAAAATTGAGAGACTAAAGGAAGTCTGTTGGAAAATCAGTTTCTTCTACAGCCCATCCTTCTATTGGCTCTTCGTTATGAGAAATATTCACCTGGTCGTTGTAAATACGTTTACAGTCGTTTTTGGATTGAATAGGATGTTTTAGATGCTTTGTAGGTTTTTGGATGTTGAATAGGTTGGAATTAAGGGAGATTAGAGGGGATTGGGAGGAAGAAGATTGGTAGTTTTTGGATTTTGTGCTATTTTTGATTTTGCTGTAAGAATTAAGCTTTTTAAAGGGTTTTACTGAGTTTTAAAGTTGATTTTGGACCCGGAGTGTACTTTTAAGGGCTGAGTTTTGTTGTTGTAAGCTTGAGTAAACCTGGAAGATGCTATGCCGATTTGAGGTAAAACAACTTCAATTTTACTGTCACTGGTATTAGATTTTAAAGCATTAAAATTTCAGGCATCATTCTTAACTTCTTCCTTTAGATCATTACCAACACTTTGCTTAATGTTACAAGGACGAGAACGATGTATCAATTTTTCATTGAGGGAATCATCTTTACTATAAGGGACGAAGGAGGATTTTGATTCACTCTCTCTCAAGTCTGTATTAATTTTCAAGGTGTCTTTGTTATGGTCTTCCTTCTGTTCATTTCTCTGAATAGACCTCTTGATCTCCTCCTTCAACTTATATGAATATTGACTTGAATATTTATTGGATGAAACAGACTATAAGAGATACCTCTAGTGCAACTTACCATAAATCGATTAATTTTAGAGTTCTTCATCACTATATTTTCATACTTCTGGTGACCCCAGTGACAGGTACAGGAGACATTGGCAAGATAAATGGAGACATCTGGATCTGACTTATTTCCTTCGCTCAATTAGGATTTTCCTTCTGAGCCTTGGAAGTTTCTAATGCTCTGATGCACTTAAGAGATGGCTTTGAGTTAGATGGATTAACTATATTGGTTCATTAGAGTATATATATCTACACTTTGGCTTATTTTAGCACATCGCTATATCTCTTTGGATTCTTTCGGGAATTCATTGGGCGAGCTAGACTTTGTCGCTGATACCTTACTCTGGTATTGAGAATAATCTTGCATTGAATGAAATATTGAATGACTCTTAGGCTCAGAGAGCTTATAAATTGGAATCTTTACTCCTAGTTTCTGAGATAATGATCTGTCCTTGGTATTGTTAGAATTCACAGTTTTGAGCTGGATGTCTTTCTTAACTCACTTATCAATCAAATCAAGTGCATTGAATGATTTGGCGGTTTTAAAATCTTTCTTCTATAATAATCAATAAGGAGAAATACTTTGTCAGTAATTTTATCCTTGGCTGAAGGGAAATCCTTAAAATGTTTTGATTTTAATTTAATAGTGTTACTTCAACTTCTTGAGTCCTCCGCTTTCGTGCTTGCTCATCACTCCTGGGATACGATTATTGTAGCTATTCATGGGGGTTATCCGCACTACTTTGGATTTCTTATCAAAATCCTTTTTCTGCAGTTTATCAACCTTCTTTAGATTTTTACTTAAATTGCAAATTATTCTTGGACAGTGAAACATCAAAATTGTAGGGGCACATATAGTCAAACTTGTTATTTCTTGATCCGTTGCTCCTTGCACTGAGAATTTGTAGAGAAATTTTCAAGGAATGAGATCTTCTACAGAGTTAACAAAGAGACAAACCTCAGAAAATTTGTGACTTTTCATGTTATTTTTAGAAATTTTAATTATATTTGGGGTTTTGGGGTTTTGGGGTTTTGGGGTTTTGGGG